AATATTATCAATTATAAATTAAAGCCATAAGAAGTTTATCCTTCTGTACAAACAAGGTGGTAGAACATGCAAATAAATTACCTTTCCTAATCCTTATCCTCATTGTTTACCAACTCGATCTTGATTTTCGATTGCTTAAATCATGTAGGTGGATTTTTTTTTCATTTTCTCTGGTTATGTTGTTTTTAGTGGGGGTTTGATAGGGGGAGATGGTGGTATTTTTTCTAGCAGCGCGTGAGGTTTTGTTGATGAGTTAACATTAAATGTCTAATGTCTCATTTTTAGTGTTCATTAGCATTTCCTTCCTGGTGTGCAGGTCTTTCTGCCAGATCGGGTGTTTCTCCTTCGCGGCAATCATGAATCCAAGTACTGCACAGCAGTTTATGGTTTTGAGCAAGAGGTAATGGTTAAATATGGAGATCAAGGACAACAAGTCTATCGAAAGTGTTTAAGATGTTTTGAAGGCCTTCCCTTGGCCTCCATTATAGCAGGCTGTGTATATACTGCTCATGGAGGGCTTTTTCGCAGTGTAGCAGTTACTCCAGCAAAGAGGTCTAAAGGCAAAAAAGGTCGAAAGATTATATCCCAAGTGGGCACAAGCATTTTAAAGCTAGGTTCCTTGGAGGAGTTATCAAAAGCTAGGCGAACGGTTCTTGACCCTCCTTGGGAAGGTTCAAACTTGATACCTGGTGATGTATTATGGTCTGATCCATCATCAAATCCAGGTCTCTCTCCAAACAGGGAGAGAGGTATTGGTTTGTTATTTGGTCCTGACTGCACGGAAGAGTTCCTAAAGAAAAATAATTTGAAGGTATGTTGTAAGGCCATTTCTTATAGATTTCTTTCAGATTGTCCTTTAGCTAGTGTGCATTGATCAACAAAGTGAGATGACTTATGTATTTGGATTTTCCTCGAAATAGCTTACGGAATTTGTTTTTGTAATTTAAAAACATAAAAGTGAAAAATGTAATTATCTGTACTTCCTGGAAATATTTCCTTACAGAGTGTCTTCTTGTTGTGAACTGACAATGACAGTTTCTTGAGGTATCTAATACCTTTTGTAGTGTTGTCTAAGATTCAGTAAGATTTTGGAGTATTCATGTTCTATAATATAGGCACTTTACTAATATTAATCCACATGAGCTGGTTAAAATAAGTATGATATGATATGATTTGTGTATTCTACCATCTTGAAATTGTTTTCTGTCTTTAGTCTTATGGGCATTCCATAACTCATGGTTAACGTTATTGTAGTGATGCTAATGTCATGTTACAATTTAGAATTTAATCTAAATGACACATTTTATTCATTATTGTTGAAACTGTAATGGAAATGTGAGCAATCATCTGGTCTATTTTGCTAAATGCGCAGGTAATACAGATCTAACAACTTTTATCTGAAATTATATGGAAAATAACGTACTAAGCCCCATGGTGGGTTGCTCTTAGCATATTGTATATTGCAAAAATTATGAACATAGATCATCTTGAAACTTTTATTTTCTGAAACTCTGCTGTTTGTATGGTAGCTGATTATCAGATCACATGAAGGGCCTGATGCAAGGGATAAAAGACATGATTTGGGCTGTATGCAAGATGGATATACAATAGACCATCAGGTGGAATCTGGAAAGTTGATTACCCTTTTCAGTGCACCTGATTACCCCCAATTCCAGGTTTATTTTTTTATCATTTTTTAGAAAATACTATTGTTCAGATAATGATATCAGCCTAAAGGAAGTTATATATGGGACAGTAATTCTATTATATGTTTTACGTTTTATTACTGATTGTTCCAATTTGAACTCTGGCTTTACTCTTTTTACTTTTGTGGAAAAGCTATCTTGGTGCCAGGACTTGGGCTGGTTATCTATGTGAAAAAAGTTAATAGTTATCCTGGGCATTGCTTCAGATTAAGCTTATCACTATTAATAAAAATATCAACAAGGAAGGATTTGTAAGGAAAATGACCGACGCAATAATCAATCTAGAATAGTTGGGATACTGCCTGATGGCTAAGGATTAGATTCTTTTGTATCTACCAATACATAAATAAAGATACAAATCTGCAGCGAGAGATGTAACGGAAACTACTTGTCAAATTCAATTTAAGTATAGCGTCTTGCACTTTGAGATATTTATTGCAGAAAACTACTTTAGAATCTTCTTTAAAATATCTTTTGGTTCTCTTTGCAGGCTACAAATGAGCGCTATAACAACCGGGGTGCATATATTGTTCTGCATCCACCTGATTTTTCTACCCCCAAATTCCACAGTTTTGAAGCCATCAAACCTAGGCCTAAGGTACATATCACTTCTCCCCCCATGTACTTTTCTTTATTTCTTCTCTATTGGACAGCGTGGTTAGTTTTCTAGCAGCTAGTTTAATTTAAACTGGAAAGAATTTTATTTTGAAAAGCACATATTTTTTTTCCTGTTTAATTTGCAACTTATATTTTGTGAAGAAACGCATAGGACAGTTGGTCCAGTGGGAATTATGTTGGTAAACTGGAGACAAATCATGAAACGTAAAGTCTGAATAAAACATGCCAGTAATTCAGTTATAGGATTTGTAGCTATTTTTAAATCCATAAAAACATGCATCTTGTTACTCTGTAATTCTATAGAATCTATACACAAGGTTCAAAAGAAGAAGAGCAGTAATAACAATGATTTTCTGCACATACGAATGCATTTCCTTTGCAGAAATATTTATATATTATTGGAAATACATGTTTATCTTTGTCAATAATTATGGAATCTGTGAATGGTTGACAATTTAGTGTAAAAAATGACCAAGGCCTATAGATCCCGAGTTCAATACTAGACAATTGACGCTCACACCCACATAGGGAGAGAGGAAGGACATTGGATTAGGAAATGAGAGAAGCTCCATGAAGCATTTATGTGGTGGATCGTTGTTCTCTTGATTAAGATATAATACTTCTTTTAGCCCTAATGTTAAGGCCTTTCACGCATGCGTGCGCTGACACTGCTTTGTAGTTAGCATAGTAGAAGATGTGTATATGTACATGTGGCTGAGCATATATCTGAAACCAAAGTCCCTTCTAAGTTTTGGACATATAGCTTCATCTGTTTACCATAATCAAATGTAAAGCCCATCGCATCAGTTCCATGTTTTCTATTTATTTTTAACAGACAGATAAAAGCTTTGAGTGTAATCATCACAACTTTGACTTTGATAACAACTTTTATCCTTCTAATTCATTCTTAAGTAAAAATCATATCCAGTCTCTATTCTTTCAGCTATGTAGATTTTAAATCTAAAAAAGTCACCAGTTATGCTGTTCAAGATTGAAAAAAGAATGGAGAAGGCCTCTTTTTGAACATATTTGTTCTTGCCTTTTGCTCTTAACCTTTTCTTCTATTTTAGTTCTATCTCCATCTTTTATGGTTAATAATGGAAGTTTACAGCTAGCACAATGTTGTACAGTAGTCACCATATTTGCAATAAAGTTTTCAACAGTAGCAACTTTCAATTTAAAAGAATGGATTGGGGGTAGCTTAAACTGTTAGGCTTATCTAGCTGTTTCAGAGTTTGCCCAATAACATTTTTCAGTTCTGAAAATTTGATGAACATTTAGGGAGAAACTAATTCTATGAACAGGGTTCAATTTGCAGTAGTTCATAGTGAATGTCTTGACTGCTTGTGAACATTATAGTAAAAAAGGAAAATAAGGTGTTTTTGTGCCTCATTCTTATGATACAGCTTGTTCTTAAATGTTATTTAGCCTTCCTAGATCTACCAACTCTAGGAGCAGAGTCGTCTAGGTCTAGGATCTTTGTGTTAGGCTTAGCAATTTTACAACATCAGTAGCAGCAAAAGCAGCAAAGCTTTTATTCCAATTTTTTTGTGTCAGAGACTTAGCAGTTCTCATAGCATTATCTCATGGCCTATTCATCATACATTATTTCTGTAAAATAGTAGTAGTACTTCATTCTGTTGGGGAGAAGTTTGATTGTTTTCTTAGTTTCTTTCTGCATATGGACTTTTATATTTGAGCTGGTAATACTATAAATAACCATGATTGGTAGCTTTTTACTTTGGGTTCGGTAGAAATATAACCGCCCTTTTTGGTCATCCCACATTATGGATAGAATGAATGAGGTGGCAGCCCTGATGGAAAGCATTAGTGGTGACACTCATCCTTCTAGTCACGTTAGAGTAGTGCTGGGCCTTCCATTCACCAATCCTATCTTGACAGTTCATTTTGCTAAATAAGCCCTCAACATATACTCAGTAACCAGTCTTTCTGTATGTGTATGTATGTACATATTCAAATAATGGGTACGAGGTTGGCGCTTACGTTGCTAAATGAGCTACCAATAGATGAACATATGGTGAAGTGCACCTTGCCAGTCACTTTAGGGTAGCTGGGTCCTGTGATCCTTCATCTCTTTGTAGTTCATTTATTAAAATGAGCCATTATGACTATGAAACCGTATATATTGATAGCTTATTTAGCAATATGAGCTACCACCTCACACCCCTTCTTCTAGGCGGCGTGTGGGTTTGATGGTCATGAGCCAGCGGCTCATTTTTAAAAAAAATGAGCTATCGGGTGATAATTGGTTGTGTTTTGATTAGCAAGGCAGCCAGGACTACATGTCCATCTCTTGGTAATTAGCTAAATGAGTTGCCACCTCAGGCCTATTATTTCCATGTATAATGACTGTATGTATCCATGTATGTTCCCTTTTCAACCAAGATTTGATAACTTGGTTTCAGTTATATTGATTTATATCTATGTATTCATTAATTTATGACAATCTGATGCAGGCAAGCCCCTACTATGACTTTGAGGAAGTGATAGACTCTGACGAAGAGCTGGACTTGATCTCCATGGACAATAGCTCATCCCTTGATGTTGTAACAGATATCCAATAACATTAAATCTTTGTGGTATTAATGTGTATCTATGGCGTCTTTTTGGTGTGATTATATTTTTACTCATAAATTTTTCAGTCTTTTTGTTTAACATATGCTGTCATGCCAGGATAGAGAAGGGTCTCGTAGGTAGAATGTCTGGCGTTCTCTCTTTTGAGCTCTTGCTGACGTGGACCGTCTTTTGGCCTAGTTTGTTGTTGGGCGCTTTGTAACCTTATTAATTAACTGCATGTTTATATCAATGTATAATTTCTGCATGATTACAACCGTTCTTTAAGTTTTCGACATGCAGCAATTTGTTTTGGTTCTTCTATTTGGTTTACAACAAATGTTCAGCAAGCAACATTTGTTGTATGGGTCTACTGGTGAAATTTAGCCTATGTTCAATCTCTTGCTTAAAGCAACTTTACGTTGTTTACAATGCTTTTGCTTAGAGCGCTGTCTTTTTTGTTTTTGTTTTTGGGAGGTGGGGGGTTCTTGGCAAGCTCCTGAAACCTTGGAAACACCCGCTTTAATAATTTGATTAAGTTGGAGCCACATCAACCCCCACCACGTACCGCTATGAGTCCATTATTTCGCTCACAACACAATGGAATCTCCTATATTTAACTTAGTTGTACAAGGGAAGCTTAAGACATATTTGCTGAATAGATCCCTCAATACTATCTTGGGAGAAAGCGAAATCTCTTTGTTCTTTATATGGTTTTTCGATATTGATTACAAATTCCAAGAAATTGGATTAAGGGGATTTTAACTAGTTTTCTCCTTGCATCTCTCTCTCTCCGTCTCTCTCGTCCTTTTGGGGCACTATTTAAAAACAATTCAAATGTAAAATTCCTACTTTTTTAGATGAGAGAGCTCATTTGGGATGTAACTAAACAAGTAAACGTGGAGGGAAAAAAATATGGAAAAGCTAGCTTAACAGGTACTTAAATCAAGAAGTAAAACCCCTAGACACCCTCTTGAGAGAAAATTCTAGTCCAAAGAATATTTTTACCGTTTCAAAATCTTACCAAATTTTCACAAGCTCTAATTAATGAATTTTCCCTTTTCAGCTCTTTATCTCACTTTACTATATCCCCTACGCAGCAGTCATAATTAAGCACACACCACAATACGCAAGCACACACGTATTTGGGATACCATATACATCGCGGTCGGAACTTGTAAATCTGTCTTCGTTTGAATCTCAGAGACTTTTGTCATTTTGGGTTCTTTTGTTTTGTTTTGTCTTTTTTTTTCCTCCCCCTCTTTGTCCTATAAGAAATGTCCTATTGAATTCAACAATTAACATAGGAATTATCATGACATACGCGAATTTAATATATATGCGCGTCGTACACATGAGAGCGTGTGCCGGTGGAGTGTGGAATACCATGGGAAGCCACACTCCCCCTCTCGCGACCATGACACCCGAAGTCCACCCCTCACAAGAGCACAAGCTCACGGTCGAGGATCCCTCGTCATCCAGAAACGCACGCGTTCAACGTGCTCAATGGCTCCGAGCGGCCATACCTCGGCGGCCGCCAATCGGACGGCGTCCTCTTCCGTATCCACCCTCATGCTCGGCGTAGGTTCTGCCAATGGAGCCGACCGTCGCTCCATCCTCATCTCCGGTATAGCGGGCGCCATATCCGGCGCCTTCAAGCATGGCCCTCGGCGAATACGCCTTCCCGTCTTCAACCCAAAGAGACACGAGCAGGAAGAAGGCAGCAGCCGAGGTCAAAGCCAATCCAAAATAGTCGAAGTCGAAGCCGAAGCCGAAGCCAAAGACAAGCAGAGGCAGCCCCGTCCCCTACCGCCTCGCCTATGATGAGCGGCGGTGGCGACGGTGGGCAGGGAGGAGAACTTTTTGCCGAGTCGATCAAGGCTGCGCGCGGCGTCGGGCCTGTCATTTATGTGCGGGGTCCGCCTGTTCCGCTGTTCTCAAGTGCGTTTGTCCGGCCGATATAAGATCAGCCGGTGTTGGAGTGTGTGGGCTGCGACGACGGGTGTATTGTACGTTAGTATCGCGTTCGGAGGAGTTGGGGCTCCGCTTGTGGGTCCCGCCGTGCGAGGCCTATCGGCGGCCACAGATGTTTGCGGCGGCGGGTCGCGCGGCTTTGGCTATGGGGATCACTTACTGGTCATTGAAACTATTCGATGCAGATGACTGATGAAGAACGTCTGGTTAATCAAATGGTAAACCAAAAAAAGAAGCTCTTTCAATTTGTGTGATCAGCGTCATTCTTAGATTAAAGATTTGCCTCAGCACTCCCCCGGATGGCTGTGCACCAGAATACTTGTCCGTATTATTGTAGGAGGTTTAAGATCGATGTAATATTTTACTACTTATCATAATAATGATAATGATTATGTACACGCGATTAGCTTCTCAGGGGCATACCAAGGTAACATGCTTAATTTGCAAAGCAAGTGAAAAGTTGTAACGTGAACGAAATTGATGTATTTACAAGTACTAGTATAATGAACGTGATTTGCATGTGGACATACTTTTTATTTAATATTACATTATCTAATAAATTATATATAAGTATTTTATCAAGTTATTTTCTTACACTGTTATTAAAAAATTAAGTTATGCTATTATTAGTACTTATATTATCATTAAAATACATTTATAGTTATTTAGATTTGCTTATTATTATGTTATCAAACAATTAATTTAAGAGTATAATTATTAAATAATAATGTAACCATTAGTTTATGTGACACTATTGAAATAATTAAACCATTTATATCATTAAATATTTATGCTATGTAGATATTTTATTACAACATTAATTAAACAATGACAATAATTCTTAACATTATACGACTTTATGTTGTAAAGAATATTACATTGTTCAATAATTAACATAGTCTTAGTAATAAAAAACTGTACATCATAAATAAAAAATATTCTTTATTTAGGAAAAATACTTTATATACAAATATTGGACCCTTGAAATTTATGAGACATTTACTTTCCAACAAAAAGTGCATACTTCATAAATTTCAAGGTCTAATATTTATATAAAGGTATTTATAATTTATAACAACCAATGTTTATTACTAAGATGATATTATAACCTTGAACATTATAATATTTCTTATAATATAAAGAATCAATCCCTATTTATAGTATTACCATTAATTATAATTATGTATAACAATTTATTAAATAAATAATTTTACTTTTTCATTACAATTTATAATTATTTATAATAAATTATATTATATATTATGAATTTTATTATCATTAAAAATTATTAATATATTGTAGTGGATGACTAAGTATTTTGAGAAAATGAATAGAAAAGTATATGTCCCATAAATTTCAAGAATATAATATTTTTATATAAATAAATTTTCCTAAATAAAAATATTTTTAATTTATAACTTCCAAAGTTTTATTACTATGACTATATTAATTATCGAACAAGATAATATTCTTTACAACATAAAGAATCAATCTCTATTTAGACTATTATTAATAATTATAATTATGTACAATAATTTATTAAATAAATAATTTTACTACTTTATATAATTAATAATTTTTTATACTAAATTATAAATATTATTATATTATAAATTATTAATATATTCTTGTGAATGACCAACTATTCTGAGAAATGGAAGAGGTGCCTAGTTAATGAGAGGTTATGTGTTATTAGTTTTATAAATAATGGTACACTTGTAATTTATACTAAATTATAAATATTTATTTATAAATTTTATTATATTATAAATTATTAATATATTCTTGTGAATGACCAACTATTCTGAGAAATGGAAGAGGTGCCTAGTTAATGAGAGGTTATGTGTTATTAGTTTTATAAATAATGGTACACTTGTAAGTTATAAAAAAATAAGAGGGCAAAAAAGAAAATCAAAAGTTTTAACATGGATATTCTCTTTTATAAGTAGTATGGATATAGATGTATGTTATAGGTTACATCAAATACTCAAATCCATATTGCTTTGGGAGTTCCTCTTTTAGGTTGGTTTGTTTTGATCAAGAGTCCTACTTACATTAGACTTTGCACAACTAATCATATTAGAGGTTTATTCCTACTTGGACTCTTATTGGGTTTTAGGATATGTGGACTTCTATTCTTATTAGAACTTTTATTCCTTAGACAGCAATGAATTGAGATCTTCAAGGCTATATAAGAACAGTCTTTCAGGACAATTAGATGCATCAATCTTCAGAGCACCAATCAAGAAGAGAGAGTTTTTTTGTGAAGCCTATTTGATATTATTTTCTTTTGTTCCTTTAGTTGAGAGTTGTATTACGCTATTAGGGTGTGATTTAGGATTGAGAGATTGAGAGATCTTCTTTGTATTCCTCATAATTTAGTAAAGTTTCTCCTCCTTTGCCTGTGGACGTAGGCTACAAGCCGAACCACGTATATCTTTGTGTTCGTGTGTTCTTAATATTTTTTGTGCTTTCATGTGATTAATATTAGCTTATCTTGGGAAGTTTGTCATAACAAATTAGTATCAGATCCCTCAGCTATCGATCGAATGAGAAGATGACAATAACTACTACGAAGTGGGATATCGAGAAGTTTGACGACGACATCAGTTTTAGCCTTTGGCAAGTTAGGATGATCGTCGTGTTGACATAAAGTGGATTGAAGAATGCTTTGTTCGGGAAGTCGAAGAAACTAACTACTATGACAGAGGAAGATAGGAACGGGTTGGATGATAGAGCTCTCACAGTAATCCAGTTATGTTTGACAAATAAAGTTTTGCAAGAAGTTCTCACGGAGAAAACAACCACTGATTTGTGGTCTAAATTGGAGGATTTGTATTTAACGAAGTCGCTTACTACTCGCCTCCTTTTGAAGCAGCTTTTGTATACACTTCGGATGTCGAAAGGAACACCTAACAAATCACATATTGGTGAATTTAATTCTATGATTACAGATTTGAGTAAGATTGATGTTAAGATCGATGATGAAGATCAAGCACTATTGTTATTGTGTTCTTTGCCACCTTCCTACAAGCACTTCAGGGATACTATTATTTACGATCGAGATTCTATTGGTATCAAGGACATCAAAGAGAACTTATTGAATAAGGAGAAGATCAACAAAGAGTTAACCATAAGTAAAAGTGGCGATAAAGCTAATGGCTTACTTGTTCGAGGAAGATTAGAAGAAAGAGGCCTTAGAGGTAACATGTATAAGTTGAAGCACATGAATCTGACCTGCAAATATTGTAAGAAGAAAGGGTACATCAAGACCGATTGTTATAGATTGAAGAACAAAAATAAATAAGAAGAGTATGAAGAAAAATCAAAGG